CCTCCCTCCCTCCCTCCTCCCCCTCTCTCTCTCCTCTGTCTCTCCAAAAGATACACATAGGTGTTGACTGTTATTCAAGGAACATTGAGTTTAGTAAGCTTTGGGGGTGAATAGCAGAAATTCCTCTGTTGGCTTGTGGCAAAGTACTTGTGAGAAAATGTATTTTATTTTCTCTATGTGTAAAATACAAAGCAAAATTAGCATAGAGGACACATCTGTGGTGTTTTCAAGTACTTTTTGATGTTTTTCTCTTGAAGAGTGGTTCTGTAGTTGGTAGACTTCTTTCAGAATAGTGAAATGGCAAGGAAAAATAGATAATGTTCTGGCATTCACTTTTTAATATCAAGACTTCATAATTCATAACTACAAGAAATGATCAGGGTTATGTCCTAGAAAGCAACTATTTTCGTTGTTTTAAAAAGACAGGGTCTCTACCTGGCTCTCTGCTAGTGTCTAGTTGTTATTTTCCTCTGTTCTGTCATTGTTGTCTTAAGACAGGAAAACTCCCTCCTTCACCAAATAGTGGGGTTGGGTGTTATCTATTGTGGTGCTTTTGGTTTTATTTAGTTTTGAAATTAAAAGTATATAAATATAATGATAACAGTCATATAAACAAAAAAAGATAGGTTCTCACTATGGAGCTCTGGCTGGCCTGGTAGTCACTGTGGCTTCCAACTCACAGAGCTCACCTTGTTTCCCCTCCTATGTGCCGGGATTAAAGGTATAAGCTGCCATACCCAGCACCCAGTTTCTTTTCTTTCCTTTTTTCTGTTTTGATTTTTTTGAGATAGGCTTTCTCTTTTGAACGGCCCTAGCTATCCTGGAACTTGACCAGGCTGGCCTCTGCTTCTTGAGTGCTGGAATTAAAGGCCTGCACCAACACCACTTGGGAAGCACCCAGTTTTTCTCTCCCTCTTTTGTTTAGTACTACAAATTTTGTTAGGACTGTTTTACCCTGTGATGGAGACTACAGTAAAAAAAAAAAGCTGCTTTTTGTCTTACTACAAAGTTTTATGACATACAAATCTTCCTATTGCTTCCTTTACTTACCCATGACACTTAGCAGTTTCTGGCAAATAAAAATCCTTCTGTAAGCCTTATATTCTAATGTTGAATTGTTTATAAAATGATTGTCTCTGCTGATAGTCATATTTTTATATTTGACTATAGAGGCAGATATGGTATGTCCTGTGAATAAAGTTTTTGGGTTTGACTAATGAATTTTTGAGTTGACAGCTGTTAACATTTCACCAAACAGCTATCTATTTTTAATTAAGTTAGCTTAAAGGCGAGACTAGCCTGAACATGTAATTTTGTAAAACAGTATGTAAAGGGAACTTAACATCATTGGACAACTGTGTCAGACTTGGAAAGAGCTGCCAAAGGCTGGGGAGGGACTCAGTGTCTAAGCTTTTGCTGCAAAAGTGGAAAAGTATGAATTGAGATCCCTAGTACCTCTATAAAAAGCTGGGCTTGGCTCTCTTCTTATCACTTATATTATCAAATAACGAAAGGTTTGGATTAGGCCTTCGGGCCACTCTTTGTTAGCTTTTGTTCTAATCTGTATTTAATAATTAAAGAATCCATTGAAGTTTGAAGTTAAAGAATATAATATGTATAGAAATATTTTCTAAAAATGTAGAATTGGTTGGTGACTGGCACATTGGCATCTTTTACTTTTAAATAAGATCTCGTGTGTGTGGGGGGGGGAGGGGGGAGAGGGAGGGAGAGAGGGAGAGACCCCTATGCTGGTGATGCACTTGCCACCATGTCCTGCTCTGAAGAACTCTCAAAATTTGTCAAGCATAAACCTGTCTTCTTGAATGGCATTCTGTCATTATCCAATAAGCAGGCTTGATGATATTTTTAATGATGTTGTCATGTGTAGATCAAATGCTGTGTAGGTTTCAGCATGCACTTAGTGATTTATTGGACTACTAGTTCCTCTAAGAATAGTATTTCTCCTTTGGTCAGATTCATAATATCTGCTGCTTTAACTTAAACTGGCTTTGTTTTTGACTTGGTTCATACATGTTTTGTAGTAGAATCCTTCTACTTCTTCGTTCTACTTTAATTTTTGACTTCTTAGCTTCCCTCTCTTTTATAGCAATTCTTTGCACTTATGTGTTAATTGTAATATATATCTTCAGTATTTCATCCTAAAAAGATGAGTATGTATAATCTTTTCATACTATTGCAATTAGAGAAAGCAGATAAATGGTTATTTACATTTCTGAAATGTCATTTAGAGTCTGACTTGATTGAGTGGCTGAGGAATCTGGGAGAAAGCTCTTTCAAGAGCTTGAAGGTTACAGAGCTTATGCTTATGTTTTTATAAAGTAGCTGAGCTCTCCTTTTTCATGGAAGAGAGTGTAGAAGGTCTGAGTGTGTAGGATGACACATTTAATTTATTATAGTCTGTAAGCTTTGGTTTTCTTTAAGGTAAGCCAGACATACAAGATTAAATGCTCCTCCTAATCCTTACCTTCCCCCTCTCCCCAAGCCTCTAGTTCTGTTGCAGGGGCTGTTGGCATGACCACCTCTGGGGAGAGTGAATCGGATGATTCTGAGATGGGACGATTACAAGGTAAAGACAGCTATTGAGTTTGCAAGAAATGATTACCGCAGGCTGCAGATCCTCCTATTCTTGACTTGAACTCAGTTCATATATATTCACTTGAACATTGTCTAGCAATTCTAGGTATACATGCACCTCTGGGAAACAAATTGTGCTTAATGACAACATGATGCTTTGGTTTCAGAGATGACCTGTCTGCGTCTTCATTTTTACTGTTTAACCAAGCAAAGCCTCATATTTTTTCAAAAAAAATTCTTCACATGATTACATGTGTAATTGGCTTTAGTAATAACTTACGAAGCACCTCAATATGTTGTTATTCTCTGGTAACTAAAAACATAATAATAAATTAAATAAAAATAAATCTAATAGGGTGAGTTTTCCCCAAGTCCCATGTTCTTTCGTAAACTCTAGTTAGTTTTCTTTATTCTTTTTTTAAAAAAATTTGACAGAGCCTTTAAAATACAATATTATGTATATTCCATGTATAGGTAGGTTTGTACTTATATCTCAGATGATGGATTTTTAATAGATTTCTAATACATTATGTGTAGTTTCACATTGCTTTACTACAGTTTCTGAGAGAAATAACAAGTTTTTAAATTTTCCCTTTGATACCAGTTAGATGCACAGCTTTTCTTTGTTAACTGGTAAAAATGGTGTCAAGTTTTTCATATTTTTGGACAGGTTTGCTGAAATCTCTCTGGGAAGCAATTTTAATGGGAAAATGAGGCAGGGGCTCTTAATATATGACTTATCTAAAATAGTAATTTACCTTATGGTTTTCTTACATAGTTTTGATCAGAATGTATTTTTAAGTTCTCTCCAAAACTTTAACATATTTGAAGATGTCATGGGGTACTTTAATGTAGCAACTAAATTTGTGTATGTCTGAGGTCTTAGAGATTTAATTTAGTTTCTTTTAAAACTTAGAGTAGAAAGTAACATTGGGCTAACTCAATTGTGTGAGATGAATCACTTCCTTGACATTTTTAGGTAAGATCAGTTGTCTTAAATCAACTCAACTACTCCCCTGCCTTTCTTTTTTCTTTAGCCCTGTTAGAGGCCAGGGGTCTTCCTCCTCACCTGTTTGGTCCTCTTGGTCCTCGGATGTCACAGCTTTTCCATAGAACAATTGGAAGCGGAGCTAGTAAGTGAATACTTTAAAATGTTTCCTCCCTTGAAGTATCTGAATAATTGTTATTGGTTACTTGTAGGTGTAATAATTTAGCATCTTTTAGACTTCCTTCTGTACTTTTGACTGCTAAGTAATCCACATTCTTATAAAAAAATTAAATTTTCTAGCTGTAGGAAAGAATCATACAATTATGTCATCTGATTATATATTTTGAATTCATTTTTTATCTTAAGACATTGTTAATATGAATCTGATATTGATTTCTCTGCAGCATTGCTTCTTACCAGACTACTATCAGATTAATTATAACCCAGACTACTATCAGATTAATTATAACACTGACATAACAGTGACTATTTATAACGGAATATACTGTTCTGTAGTTAAAAGTCCAGTTAACGTCTTTTTGATAACATCTAATCATTTTTCTAATAACCTCATAGCTTGCACATGCTAGGACAACTATTTGGAGGTCTGAGTGCTACTTTGGAGTTGGTCCTCTCTAGTTTTGTATAGGTTCCAAGGATGGAGCTCAAGTTGTCAGGTTTATGTAGCAAGCATCTTTATTTGCTAAGACTTTTTAAGTTTTATTTTGTAGTTAAAACATTGCATTATATGATATGCCTGATGGCATATACCTTTAATCCCAGCACTAGGGAGACAGAAGCAGATCTCAGAGTTTGAGGCCATTCTGGTCAACAAAGTGAGTTCCAGCCAAGGCAACACAGAGAAACCCTGTCTCAATTAACAAAAAAAGGAAAACAAAAAAAAATAAAAAAACATTGCATTATGTGTAATTTTTATTCCCGAATCTTCCCTCTGGTGTCTCTCACAAGAAACAAACAGCGGGCTGGATAGATGGCTCAGAGGTTGAGAGCAATGACTGATCTTCCAGATCACCAGGTTCTATTCTCAGCACCCACATGGCAGCTTACAACTGTCTGTAACTCCAAGATCTGACATCCTCACATAGACATATATTCAAACAAAACAACTCATTTCTGGCTTTTATTAGTAAGAAAACTTAAAAAGCAGTTGTGTTTTTGTTTCCCTTCATCTCAGGTGACATACTCTGCCACAAAGTTCCCTTTTTGAGAGTTTTGTGAGTTATAAAATATTGCCCAGGCTTAATTACAACTCTGGGTCCTTGTGTCTCCCATATATTGGGATAATGGGTGGATGTAGCTTGAGTTTGCTCTCTGGGTCCTGCCAAGTCCCAGCAGTCTGACAGCCCACTTATAAAATAAACACACAGACGCTTATATTATTTAAACTGTTTGGCCTAAATGCTCAGGCTTCTTGTTAGCTGTTATATCTTAAATTAAGCCATTTTTATTAGTCTATAATTTGCCACGTGACTCACCGGTACCTTACATTTTGCTAGTCATGGCAGCAGCTGCCTCACCCTTCTACCTCCCAGAATTATTTTCCTCCTCGTCCTGCCTATCCTATCCTTCCTGCCTGGCTGCTAGCCAATCAGAGTTTTATTTATCAATCAATCATCCACATCAGGTGGATACTACCATACCTTTCTTCTTGAGAACTCTTGAATATTTATTAACTACCACATACTAGATGCTGGTACTATCCTGATCATAAGTACATTTAAGCAGAGTTGTTTTCTACATGGAGCCACCTTGTATTTCTCTCGTCTTAAATTGGACATCTTGTCTTGAATTGGGCATTTCTTTTCTATGAAAACAGGGTTGTTGGATAAAATGGTAGATGTACACAAAGTTTTATTAGCTACTAATTCACCACTGTGGAGATATAGAACCCTGTATTTTTACTTATCATGTATAACAATAGTATAGTGTTATATTTTGGGCTTTTTATAAAACTTAAGGTGAGAACTGTTAACTTACATTTTGATAATCACCTTGTATTCTTTTTAATATATTTTCCTCTTCTATTAGTCAGTTGTGTGTTTTAATGGTTTCGCTAGAAATTATTATATATAGCCTTAAATAATTTATCATATGACAAACAGTTTAAAAATTGAAGTGGTTTAGATCCTAATCTCTATTACTGTTGTGTGAGATATTTCTTTTTTTATTCATTCATTTATTCAATAATTCTATGATATTCATTAATTACATTAATGTATTGATTTATTACATTCATGATACTACTGTCCATTTGTGGGATTTTCCCATCACACAAAACAGATCCTGTACTTAGGAAATCATTGCTCTATATTCCTTTCTTCTCCATTTTGAGATAATGTCTAAACTTTCTGTTTCTATGAATTTCATATAATACAATTCTATAGTATTTTGTTCCTTTTTAATGTAAAAACATGTACTAACTACTGCAGAAGAAATAATACATGGATAGCTTGAACATAAAAACAGGTTATAATTCAACAGTCCAGGGTTATTGTAAACAGGAAAATATTTTCTCTTTAGAAAATGGTAAAAATGATAACATTTTCCAATAAGCCCCTTTAAGCCAAATGCTAGCTGAATTATATATATATGAATATTGATTAGTTCCTGGGATACAGAAGAAACCTATTTTCATTTGTTCAGCGAGCTATGTTTTACTTAAGTTGGGTAAGTGAGATTCCCCTTCACTGTTTGATTTATGGCAGACATTTTTCTATAGGCTAATCCATAATCTAAAAAGCCTCCCCTCCTGAAAGTTCTGTCATCAGCTTGATACAGTACAAATTCTTATCGTAGTAGTGAAATGTTTCACTAAAGCTTGCCCAGTGATTGGCGAAAACCAAAACTTAATTATAAGCCACAGTCATCCTAGGGTCCCCCCTGCTATGTAGCCTTCCTGTATCTGGGGGTTGCAGTCTGATTGTTCTTCACTTTATATCTAGTATCCACTTATGAGTGAGTACATACCATGTTTGCCCTTCTGAGTCTGGGTTACCTTACTCAGGATGACATTTTCTAGTTCCAGCCATTTGCCTGTAAATTTCATGATTCCATTTTAAAAAATTGATTGGGTGGTGGTGGTGGTGGTGGTGGTGGTGCTGCGCACCTTTAATCTCAGCACTTGAGAGGCAGAGGGCAGGCAAATCTTAAGTGAGTTTGAGAACAGCCTGGTCTACAAAGTCAGTTCTAGGGTAGCCAGGGCTGTTACACAAATGAAACCCTATCTTGATAAACAATAAAACAAAACATAAATCAAAAAAGGAAAAAAAAAAGAAATCTGATAACAAATAATTGTTTTAGATGCATTATTAAAAATGTTTATTCTTCTTCCCATTGTGCTTAATTTCTGCTTACATGATTTTCTTCCAGCTGAAGGACTGTATTTCATAGGAGTTAAGGGTGACCAATAATCATCTGTTTTTGTTTGAAAAATTGTTGTGCCTAAAATTTCAAAGGACATTTTTCTCTTGTGTAACATTCTCTATCAGCACTTTTTGCCCTGATTGCTATAGTTTATCTTCATTAAACTTTTCTTTTTCCTGTGAGCAAGGGTGTGTGTATGTATGTTTTCTAGTTAGTGTTTCTCTGTGTCGTCCTGGAACTCTAGGGCTTTCTGCCTCTCTCCTAAGTGCTGGGATTAAAGGTTTGTGCCACCATGCCCAATACCAGTTTGGTTGTTTCTTCTTCTTCTTCTTCTTCTTCTTCTTCTTCTTCTTCTTCTTCTTCTTCTTCTTCTTCTTCTTCTTCTTCTTC